CCTGCGGCAGCAGCTTTCTTCCCGACCGGCACGGCCCTCTCCGGCGAGCGAGACCCGCCTCTCCCCCTCCCGCACCTTGGGCCGCTCCCCGGCCCGCGGCGACCGCCGTTCCCGCTCGCCCTCACGCCGCTCCTCTCCGCGGGGGGAGCCCTGCGACCGGGGCCGGTCTCCGGCCCGGGAGGCTAGGCCGCCCCTCAGCGTCGGTCCCCCTCGCCGACCCGACGTCGGGACCGGTCCCCTTCGCCGCCCCGCCCGCTCCCATCCAACAACGACGCCGACGCTCCCCCCTCCCGCCGCTACCAGCCCCCCCGCTCCCAGGCTGCATTTCCGCCGGCCAACGGCGGCAACGGCAACCGGGGACGCCCGGGATCCAAGAAGAAGAAGAAGAAGGGCCCGCCGCGCCCACAAGTCGCCACCTCCACCGCTACTGCAGCTCCTCCTCCGGGTACCACCGCCTCGGCCGTGGCTCAGCCGTGCTTCAACTGCGGCCTGACCGGACACTTCCAGGTGGCGTGCCCCAACCCACCGACGTGCTACCTTTGCAAGGATACCGGGCACCCCGCGATTCTCTGTCCGGACCGCCCGGTGTCGGAGGAGCTCATGATGTATGGGCACGACATCGAGGACTTGGCCTTCTTCCACATCGAGGTGCCCGAGCTCGCCCCGCCTTCCCCCTCGCTGCTGGCTTTGGTGACGGTTGTGGGCGAGGCCGTCGCCACCCCGGAGTTGATTGAGGCTGAGCTCAACCACTTGTGCAGATGCACATGGGACTGGCAGGTGACCCCCACGGCTCCCAGCTCCTTCTCAGTGGTCTTCCCTGACGCGATGAGCATGGGCTTCTGCATGCGCAACAACAACATCACCCTGGCTCTCAACGACATCGTGGTGAACATCTCTGAGCCGCAGTGGGATCCCAGAGCCGTCGCTACCCTGGACACGGCTTGGCTCCTCATCTCCGGCCTCCCTGATGTTGCCCGTTCCGAGCGGGTCATCCGCAGTATGTCCAAGATCCTGGGCAGGGTGGTGGTGGTGGACGAGCTCTCCCTGCGCAAGGAGGAGGAGGTCCGGGTTAAGGTGAAATGCCTGGACTCCTCCAAGCTCCACGTCACGATCCGTGTCTTCTTCAACGATGACGGCTACGACCTC